ACTGGTCCGATTTGTAAGAATACCTGGACTTCCATAGAAAAACAATAGAAATAAATAACTTGTCTTTTTTATCTTTTATGGAAGAAATCTTTCTGTCCTTTGCTGAAACCTTCCATGAAGGATATTAGTCTTTAAGGTCTTCCATAAAAGCAAATCTTCTGATATTCTATAAAGGGTGACTTTCATGTCATCTCTAAAGAAGGCTAACTGGTCCTTTATTAAAGATGACCCTCTGGTCTCCAATTAAAAACAAACCAATACCGCGGGTGATTTAAATAGATTTTTAGATCTTTTTTAGTTGAGCCAGTTTCGAGTAGAGTCGTTTGGAACCCTTAAAAACCAAACAAGACCGTTTCCTTCTTTTTATATGTTTCGCGTAGGTTATTTACACATTAAGAAGTTGAAATAGTTCGCGAGATAAGATTTCCAAAAACTTATTGTTAAATGAATAACAATTAACAGTTGTTAATGAATAATATATATTTGAAGTTTCAGTGTTATTGCAATTTCTTCTTTACCATTGGGTAAAGCAAATTTACACTGCCCTTATCACGTAAAGTTTTTATGTGAGAAAGGTAAACTACTTTCACTTATTCCCCTATCACAATTCCAATAATGTGATCCAAATTCCACATTTTTCTTAGAAAATTAATTGCACTTAAAATTAAATGCACTACTACCTCAATAAAACCCCTGAACCCATTTACCGAACAGCTGATATCTGTCATCGACTTCTTTGGAATTTCATTTCATTTATGAATTCATGACGTGCTGTGTTGACAGTTATAACATTAATTCACGTTTGCATTTTGGTTTTCAAGTCTAGGTGTCTGTCGCCCACAGTATCAAAGTCGAACTTTCTATCAACTCGAACATTGTCATGGATATATGAACGCACTATTCTATGAATGGGAAATTTTCCCAAAAAAGGTCACAGAGCGAATATCGAATTAATTTCGTTTGTACCATTAATTATTTCATAGTTCAAAACTTGCGGGGCAACTGATGTACGTAAATAGATTTTCCAAATTTGGAAAGTAAAAGTGTTGGGGTATGTACAAGTAATGTTTTTTTTTTCTTTTTTGGTTACAAAATTATGAAATTTATTTCGATTTGTTGACGGATATTGAATAATGTTTGCTATTACGTATAGAAAAATTATGAAATTACTAATTTTTCAAATTGTTGACATAGGATGAAAAGCGTGAGTGTGAGTAACTAATTTATTTAACCATATTCAGAATATTTAAAATTTACGTTGGACAAATTTAATTTTAAAAATGTTAAAGCTCATGAAGTTTAGTGACAGAAATTTAAAATACGACATTAGCAAAGTAACAATATTAAGGAGCACATAAACTGTTTAGTAAAACAACCAAAAAATCAGATGGTTTTTTCAGTTTAATCAAACTGAATTATTGAACTAACAAACATGCTGTAATTCACAGGCGAGCTCTACAGAATTTTCGATGCCTTTTTTCCTGAAATCTGCGGAAGAAAAACTAAATTTTATACCTGCTTAGTTGCCAAAAAGGGCCAAAGTCTAAAAAACACTTGAAGGTACTATTATATTGGCGCTATATCGAACAGTATATCACCAATGTCTATTGAAGGTAGAGTTTCTATCAAATAAGAATTCGAAATTTAATAAAATGTGTGAAAATATGTATTTACGAAATTTATGTATTTCCAATGGTGAGTGACATATGTCAAATAAGTCAAAGGGTCGGAAGTATCAAATCTTCTCAAAGAACGAAATAAAAAATAATTTTGATCTACTATAAAATCTGGACATACATTGAATATTATCCTTCGAAGTTGTGTTCACCAACAAAATTTAAAAAAAAAGCCTTTTGGATTGAAGATATCCCAATGGTGGACTATATAAACTGATAGCAAATTCATTTGGAACATAGGATTGTAGCTTTTGAAATACTTATTGTGTAGAAGGAAGTCTCTTCAACATAAAGCATACCATTTTTGAGAATTGTGATTTATTTAGTCTTTTTGCAATAGACGGTATATATTACATGATCATCAAGTCACTTTGGGACGTTTGGAGCCGATCTAGCTGTTATGATTACCAAATTTAATTCGTGTTCGGAGATGGGAAATATCGGACCACTCCCTCTAGTAAGACGCCCCACCCCAAAAAAAAAAAAAAGAAAAAAAAAATAAGTAAATAAATAAAAAAATAATCATGATTCAATTTTCGCATATCCTCCTATTTTTATCAATTGTAGATCTGGTATGAAAATGGGATAGAATGGTACCTTTATTATAAAGGGCCTACATTTTGAATAATCTTCATGAAATAATAATCAATCTGATTATTTTTTTTTTGTGAACGGAAACAGCTGGTAATTTGAAATGTTGGTATTGGTGGTAGGTTTGTGGTAAATAAATGTGTGTTACAAGTGTACGAAAAGTACTAAATAGTACTATATTTGGTGTAATTTGTTATTGGATGAACAGATAGTGCTTGAAATCGCAATTTTGGTACATGGTCGCTGTTCAGGTGTAGCCTGGACATATGTAAGATATGGTGGTTGTTTTTGGAAATGCCTGAAATAAAAAGTACGAAAGGTACTAAATGTTACTACATTTGGTATAGGGTGAGGGGATAGGGGTGGAATCCTAAAATTTCATGTTGGTTGGTATCTGGAATTGAGATATGTAGGTGGTTTTGGAAATGTTTCCTACATTTGTTCGAAAAGTACTAAGTAGTACCAAATTGGGTATTGGGTGGTGGAATAGAGCTTAAATCCCGAAATTTGATATTGAGGTCTCTGTTGGTTTTATTGCGAAAGAGTACTATAATCGTACTAAATAGTACTAAATTTGCATCACTATTGGTGTATACGATTTTGGTTATGCGTAATCAATGTTCCTAACTTTGGTATTGAGAAAAGGGCTTGGTTCAAAGATTTTGAACACATTTTTGCGTAAAAGGTAAACATGTCTCAATCATTCTTTCCGAAAAAAAAAACCCTAGAGTGAGTAAAAATATGTTGTTTTGCAGGTATATCACGAACTATAAGTGTTGGTGTCTAAGGAAAAGGGATGTAGATGTGAAATGGACCAAAATCAGAAAGATTTTCTGATTTTGCTGTTGCTTTTCAGGCTACAACCAATTTTTAATGGAGTTAGAAAAAAATCCATTGAACCCCGAATATTTGTAATCTCGAGCAAATCACAAATTCATTAAAGGGCTACTTCTGACCACTACAGTGATGCTGATAGCTAAGATATCGGATATATAGCAAAATAGGTAAAATATATATTTAAAAGAAATATACCTTATTTATTTAGTCTTATAAGTCCGGAACCGCTTGACTTTCACAATTCTCATCAATTTGGTCTCTTGCCAGAAAAGGATAAAATCTAAGAAAAACACGTAAAAATATTCCAATAAAAAAGTGAATATTTTTGTTTAATTTTTTGGAATATTTTATATCACATGCGATTTTTTTCAATTTGACTTACAATTTTGAATAGCATATTTTCTAAAGTTTTCCTATACTACGTGTTGAGGGTATTATATACAGGTCACGATTATCGCCCGATCCTCATGAAACTTTGCATATGGGTAGGGTTAGGGTCAATATTAAAGCCTATTGTTATGGAGATGTATATTTAGATGTTCAAATGAACCAAAAAAATCAATTTTTTTCTGAATTTGCAGTCGCTCTATGGGTCACAATTGAAAACCAATCGACATAAGGAGAGAGTTAAGGATAAGAACAAGTTCAGCATATTGGATGACCATTGGATTATATTTAGCTATAAAATGGACCACAACTTTTGTTACATTTATTGCGAATACATAACAACACGGAGGAGTGCGTAAATAAGTGTAACATCTCGGTAGGGCTCTAAAACGTAATCTTCCAAAATAGATTTCGACATAATGGTGGCTTCCAAAATATTGTAGTGTTATGGGGTATCACATGTCATCATATCATCACGTTTGCTTACTTGTTGGTATTGAAAATGGAACATATAGGTCCGTGATTTCTTATAGCCCATATTTAACGGTACTACACGATTTAAGTCATTTGCCTCCCATATACTAGGGCTCAAACGAAAGGTCGAGTGTCTGGACAGTATGAGAATTTTAAAAGTTTAGTTTTTTTGATTTAAAATCTGCTTTTACCCCACTTCATTGGCTATACAAATGTTTTGATTTATATTTGTTGAGAAAGGAACGTGACCACAGTTCAGGTGACACCAGGAAGTGTTCTTACGAATTCCACTGCTCCATATGTAATTTAATGAGTTCCTTAACCATTGCACAAACAACAAATTCAAACTCACAACATTTTGTTATTTGACAAAATTTTAAATAAGAAAACGAATACTATGTACCCGAAAAAAATCGGTTAAATAATATTACAGTCCTCGACACGTTCACATAAAAAAAAAACATTTGAAATGTCCAACTGCTGATTTTGTTGGTTGGCCAAATAAAGTACATTGTTTGGCGATTCGTCGAATTTTGAATTGCCGAAGACGAAAACGACAGCTGGGCGGTCGGTCGGTCGGATTGGTCGATCATTGGAATATATGATTCAAAAAAGTAATAACAATAATTAATTAAAAATTCAAGGCAGGATTCACAATTTGTCGTTACGCTCACGCTCACATTCACTCAGTCAGTCAGTCGGGTTGACTGACTGGCTGTCTGACACTCATTCTTTGCAGTTGTAGAGTAAATGGTGGCCACCAACACAAACCGATAAATGAGTGAGTGGTTGGCTGGCGACCAAAAATCCAACTGCAGAGATCCAAAAAGAGGCATTTGACTTTGAACTTTTTGTTTTGTTATTCAAAATCACTTTGAACACTTACAAAATATTTAAAAATTCAATTTCAATGAACATATTTTTCTTATTTTTTAATTTTCTGTTGCTGTTTCTTATGTGCATGGAATAAGAAGAATGTATGAATGTGTTTGTTTTTTGGATATCAATTTTTTAGAATTTTATATTGCACCATACCTTTTATTTTCAAAATTCTTATCGATTTTTTTTTTTTTTGAGTTTTGTTACAATTTCCAATATGTTGTTTATTTGTTTTCTTTTCTCACACACGTACAAATCACAAACACTATGAACTATTGTTTTTCGCTGGTTCTGTTCCTTTAAGAACTTTTATTCCTTATCTTTCACAAATTGAAATTCGTTTAAACACGCTTTCGTTTCGCTTAGACGTGCGCCCGTTAACGTTGTTTTAACTTTGCGCAACCGCAACGTTCTGGTGCTCCTGCGAATGTTGCGCGAAATATTTGTTAAAAACTCTTCGCGTTTTCGATTTCCGATTTAACGGGGGATATTCTTGCCGGCAGTCGACGACGCCGTCGTCGTTGTCTCGATCGTATTAAAATTATTAAACACGACGAATATCGATGTGATAATTACACATAAACACGCACGACGACAACTTGTTGGTTGGTTGTAGCGGCTTTTCGTAATGCGAGAAATGCTAGGCTTCTTTATGTGTGCGCGTGTGTGTGTATGTTCGACTGTGCGTTCTTTGGGAAAGAAAAAAATTAATAATAAGTAATCTGATTTCGTAGGTTTTTTCGATTATCTCAGAAACACAGTGGTTCTAGTTTTTAATATATTTTGTAGTTTTATAAAAACAAATTAAAAAAGTTGGAAGTTCGGCCAGGCTGAATATAAATATGAAATGAATACCCCCTACCATTTAGAACGAATTTGGCAATTTTCAAAAACCTCAAATCCGTTGAAAATTCATTTCAAATCCTACGACGACGTGGACTTGCATAGGCAAGTTTTGTCAATAGCCAGTACAATACTCAAATGCGAAACTAAAAAAAGAAATTCCCTGAATAATGTAGCTAAAATCATGAAAATACCGAATATTTATGGGGCTATACGAAGACGTGCCATAGGCTGTAGTATTCATTACGAACTTGAAATACCAAATTTGAAATAATTCCGATGAATAATGTCGCTAAAATTATCAAAATACCGAATATAGGGAGATACCGATATAGGAGGGCTATTGAAACAATTCCGGTAAATAACGTCGCTAAAATCATCAAAATACCGAATATCGGGAGGTGCCGTTATATGGGGGCTATACGGACTCGTGAACATGCACAGACAATTTTCTGTCATAGGCTGTAGTATTCATTACGAACTTCAAATACCAAACAATTCGGTTGAATAATTTAGGTTAAATCATCAAAATACCGAATATAGGGAGATACCTATATAGGAGGGCTATACCAAAACGTGGACCTGCACAGACAATTTTCTGTCATAGGATGTAGTATCCTAAAAAAAAATTCAAATACCAAATTTGAAACATTTTCGGTGAATAATGTCGCTTAAATCACCAAAATATCGAAAATAGGGTGGTGCCATTATATGGGAGCTATACCAAAACGTGGACCTACATTGTTAATTTTCAATACCAAAAGTCCTGCAGGCTAATACATATTTTAGTAAAATTTAATCAACCTACTTCATTTCGTTTGGAAATTAGAGTGATTTCCACAGACGAACATCGATATAGAATTTTATGCTGATCAATAACATATACATATATTTTGTGGGATCTAAAATGTATATTTCGAGGTGTTACAAACGGAATAACAAACTTAATATACCCTCCATAATATGGTGGTAAAAAATGTAATTCCAACCGGCCTACAACACAAAAACAAGCGTTGATGGACCAATATTGGAATGTTGTACTGAATATGGACTGCATGGATCTGTGCCTAAGCAAAAACTAAACGCCCCACACGGTACCTCCCGTATCGTCTTTATTTAAATTCCAGGCAGGCATTTTATACCCTCAGCCATAAGAGGGTATATATCATTTGATACGGCCAAAACGTGCCTTTGGACCAAAACCGTCTCTTTGGACCAAATCCGTTTCAGACTATTTGAAGTCGATCTAGCGATTTCCGTCCGTCTTTCTGTCTATCTCTCTGCTGGCTGGTGTGCACGATAACTATCGACGGGAATATCCGATTTGGTTAAAACATCGTAAAATTATTGTCAAACTAGACGAGTTCGGAGATGGACAATATCGGTCCACTCCTTCGGTCTACTCCTTCTGATACCTCCCTCACAAAATGTCAAAATTTTCAAAGAAAATAATTTACTGTACAGAAAGAGGTTGGATAATCCGATTTTGCTCCAACTTTGTAAATGCTGATATTTCCATCAGTGCTAGGTCAGGTACGAAAATGAACAATATCGGTCCACTCCATAAAGTACCTCCTCCACAACGGGTCAAAATTGTGATTAATTATAACTCATTTTATAATGTGAGGTAAGAGTCCGATTGTCTTGGAATTACACACACCACAACATTTTTAATAATCCTAGGTCTGGTGTGAAGATGGAATATATCGGTCCAATCCTTCTGGTACCTTTCCCACAAAGGGTCACAATTTTGAATATCCATGAAGCTCATAAAACGTTAAAAATTCAGACTTGATTCATCGAAATATTTCCATCAAACCAAGAACTGTTATAAAGATAACAGAGAAGGAAGTAACCAATATACAGTGTGAGATAAAGAAAACTGCAACCAACTTCAGACTGCTGTCATTTCTAAACCACTGGTCCACTGGTGGAAGTGGACGGAAGAAAACAGCAACATCAGCAGAAATGGTTCGAAAAATAAAGAAGCCCTTGATCGAAACCCGCGTCGCTGTTGCCGAAGAATAGCATGTGAGCTAAACATATCGTAACATTCCATTCGACAAATATGAGCTCGGGGTGAAGTCATTTAAATTCTAAAAAGAGCAAGAACTTACACCGCAACTGAAAATAGATTAGAAAGAAAATAGACCCAAAAGAGCTAAAAAGTAGCTTCGCTTGGCCGAAAGTAGTGAAATGCCGAATACCGCAGAGCAACATTCGGGCAGCGTGTGACGGTTTCATTGGCCGTTTGACCAATTCGAACAAATCTAAACTTATTCTAAAATTTGATGCTATTTCCGACATCTTTTTCTTTAATTTAATAAAATTGAAAAAAAAGTGAAAATTATGGCATTTAACATTCTTGCAGTTTTTTTTATCCTCACCCAGATGTAAGAAGGTTTTTCAATGGATGAAGTATTTTTTTCTGGCTTAACTCAATTTTATTATCTGTTGCTGATATGTAAATTAAAAAAAAAACATGAATGGGAGCAACGAAATGCTTCCTTTAAATTTTTCTCTGATTTGGAGGATCTAACAGAGACCTTCTTTGTGGGTGGTTTTTTGTAGCTTTAATCCACTGAGAAATAAAAAGTTTGTAAAAAACTCTGTCTGAAACCCTCAAAATGTTATATAGGATCAATATAAAAGTGAACTTAACTTCACAAAATTTTGCAGAGAGAGATTCTCAAAATACCTTACATTTGAAAGTGCCGTTATATATGGTGGATATAAAATAGCAGGACAACCTTAAACATGTTAAACAAGGAGAGATTATATCTACTCCGAACTCTAAATGTCAAGTTAAACAAGTAAGCAAAGGCTGCAGTCGAGCGGGGCCGACCGTTGAATACCCTACAACACTATAATAAACGATACAGTTTATATAGGCGCGATACTCGAAAGAATTCCACAAGATATTGTTACAAATTATAAAAGAAAACCATCAGGTTTCGTTCTCTAATTTTCGAATAATAGCAACTTAAACTAATTTGCTCATTTTCAATTTATTGGTAGATGTTGCACGTAAATTGTCTTCCTAGATCTGGAACCAATATTTCCCAAAGACCTATAATCTCTCAGAAGTGGCAAAAGATTAACATTTATTATTGGTTTTTGACTGAAACACATATATATGAGATACAGACATTTGACTATATTCTTCAACGAAATCAGCGTTAACGAAATAGTCAGAAGTGCGTCTTTCCTGTATTTTTGAATTCTCCAAAAAGTCACTGGAATGGACATTTTTTGTCTACAAAAGTTGGCAAACTATTTCGCACATTGAATATTTTTGGATGACCATCCAAAACTGCTTGGCTTTTGCAATGTCCGGTAACCCCCATTCAAATGTGCATGAGGATCGGGCGATAATTACGACCTGCTGACAATTTTGCAGTTTTTTGGTCCATTTCAACCCCTACATATATGGCGATCATCTCCAAAAAGAGTAGGCTTCTATTCTGACCCTCATCTTATCCCCATGCAAAATTTCGTAAGGATCGGGCCATAAATGCGATCTGTATATGATATCCTGATATCCTAACTACTTAGTTTTGTTAGCTGTAGAAATATTACCAAATGTTTAATTCAAAATCAAAATATGCCAAAAATATGACAAAATTGAAAAAAATATGAGAAAATGTTACAAAACCAATATTTTCATCTTTAGAGAGATATTTTTATGCGATTTTTTTAATTAATGAGAACTGTCAAAATCAGTTCAGCCGTTCTCGACATATAAGAGACTTTTCAAGCATATCTCCTTTGATAGACATATATATCGCACATATTTTGCTATATGTCCGATTTGTTGGATAATAACATCAATGTAAAGGTCAGAAGTAACCTTTTGATGGTTTTGTGATTTCGCCGGGATTTAAAATATTCGCGGTTTAATGAAAAATTTTGATTTTTTTCAACACAAAAGATATGGTATATTTTACCCGCTAAATATTATCCGATGACCACCCAAATTGGTAGGCTTCTTCCCTGCCCTAAACTCTAGCTACATTCCGTCGATTGGTCTATAATTGCTACCTGTATAGCTACTGCAAAATCCGACATTTATTCAGTATTTGGTCCATTTCAACCCCTAAACATTTTCGTAAGGATCGGGCCATAATTGCGACCTGTAACGTGATTACAAATTAACATGGATAGACGGACAGACGGACGGACGGACATACATAGCTAGATCGGCTCAGCTCGGCGAGCTAGGAAGATCCATATATACTTTCCTATGTGGGAAACCAATATTTCGAGGTGTTACATAAATTCTGGCCCAATCAAACATGTAATACCCCAACACATAGTGTTGTAGGGTATAAAAACAAACGTATTTTTGAAAATTTATATAAAATCGGAAAATCATTTTTTGAAAAAAATCAGTTTGGTTGCATAAAAATAAATTGAATATAAGTTTAGGTCAGTAAGATTATTTCGAAAGTGAAATAACAATAAATATATATATTCTTTGCCCAAAGAAATTAAAAATAAATATAATTCAACTATAAATTAAGAACTTCAAGTAATTGAAGTAAGAAAATATTGAAACACATTTTTTTTTATAAAATCTGTTAATGTATGAGTACAGTACGATTTTGTCTTAGTAAGCGGAATTTTATATGGAGTTTCCTCCTGCTTGATTGTAATGACTATCAGCAACGCAGAGTACAAAATTATAGGAGGTAGAAGTAATCTAGGCCTGACTAGACATTATTTTTTTGAAGAAAAAATGTAAATATTTATACCTTTCATCTATAATGCAGGGTATATTAAGTTTATCTTTCAAAATTTTCGTGGGAGATCCCAAAA